CACACTCAACACACACACACGCACGCATACACTAATTTCTAATTCTTCTTACCTTTTTTAATTATATTTTGAATTAAAAAATAAAAATAAAAAATGTATCACGTTGCTCAAAATCTACATGTATATGTATTGCATCTGTATCGCTAAGGTGGGAGCCTGGAGATTTGTCACACAGGTTTCGAACCTACTACAAACTCCAGCTCTCACTAAGGTGTCATGTATGTTATTTTTATTATAGTAGCATAACAAACCTATGTACCTATTTACCTTTTTGAGACAAATAAACCTTATTAAACCTATTAAACCTATTTTAAGAGCGGTTTTAAACTTGCTTGATAACGCCACAAGTAGGTATTTTATGTACCTAAATCTGTTTTCTTTTTAATCGTGTGAATAGATATAATTATTTACATATTAACAATCTGTTACGTAACGTAACCGTAAACGTATTTTGGCTGGTAGGTCTTATGATGAATAATCTTTAAAAGGCAGATTTTTTTTACTAGATTTTTTCCTAAATACAATGCCTTTCTGTATACAGTTCTAAACAATGATTTATCAAATAATGTCCATTATAATGGCAGCCTTTTTTTTTTCTCACGGAACAACGTATTAGTTTTATCTTTAAACGTTTTTTTATTATACTGTAGCGTGACATCAGCTAGCTATTGTCAAATTATTTACAAGATAAAAATTACACGAAATTACTAATGGGAGATAATTCAGGCCGTACTCTAAGATCTTACATTTATTGATTCACGCGAGATTATTTTAAACCAAGGCATCTATCCTATTTGACGTTTCGACCAGAACGCACTGGTCGTGGTCACGGGCGGACTCCATCAACCAAATGAAAGGTGTGTTCCTATTAATTAATTCCCGTTCATTAGTAATAATATTTCACATGGAATTTACTACCATCATCATCTCAGCTGAAAGACGTCCACTACTGAAAATAGGCCTCCTTCAAGGTTCGCCACAACAACCGGTCCTGTGCTGCCCGCATCCAACGGCTTCCCGTGACTTTCACCAGATCGTCGGACCACCTTGTGGAGAGCCTACTTACCCACGCTCCGTCTTCCGAATTTACCCAATATTTGACTACACGACTACATTTGACACACACAAGGGCCAACTGTTTTACCAAACATATCTGTCATCTATAAACAGTAATGAATTATTAAATATTTCCTTCGGGTTTGTTTTGATTTGAATACAAAAGGCACTCTGTACTAAGGCATTTGTCCTTATACCTGTTATTATTTTATTCGATGTTGACTAATGGACGTCACGGTCTTTGTATCCACAGTGGATACAAAGACCGTCATTGTCACCAGATGGGAGGTCAGACAACCCTTATTTCTGACGTCATAGATTTGTTAGTGTTTAATTACAGTATATGGGTATTTATATTGTGGTATTTGGCAAAATGGATGTTACAATAGGTTGGTAGTTTGTTTTCCGAATTTTGTATGTTTTTTTTTTAAGTGAAAACTTCGTTAGGCGCGTTGGGCATTTTTAATCAACGAACAAAATATTGTTTTTTTGAGATGGGAAGAAACCATTAAACTCGCGAAACTGTTACCGTTACCGACTCCTTTGTATATAAGTATCTACATATATTGGCCTCGTTTACACGTGAGTTGAGTTTGGGTTGAAATACATTTATAATATAACTATATATAATATAAACATATATTGTGTATATACGTACAACATTGACATATATTTATGTCGTAACTTTTCTAATAGAACCAATAAAAAAAGCCTGTTATAATCAAGAATTTTCACGTTTGTTCATCAAAAAAATACAGCGAAACTGAGATTTTTTTTCTTTTTTTTGGAGGCGGTAAACACAATATGTATGAGAAGAAATATCCACGATAGTACGTACCTACTATCTGTATCAGAGGCCATATATCGAGGGTGAAGTACTATCTACAAAATATTAATACTATCTATCTAATAAAAACAGCACGCATACGTCGTGTGATGTCAATCGTAGGTACTATTACTCTTTCGTGACAGATAATATCTTTCATCAAAATCATCAATTCAAGAACAGTGTTTTGTGTATATACAAGTTTTGTGCGCATATATGCATTCACAATTCTAACGATAAATCGGTGATCCAAAACTAGGCAGAGCCTCGGCTATGCTAATTAAATTACTGATAAACATACTGATATATTTCTAAAAACATAAATAAATTACACCCAGATACAGCTTACCAGACGAACACTGTGAAGTTTTTCTTAAATTTAAGTATTTATATTCCTAAGAGTCAACTACGCTTACGGCTTTATTTGCACTTTATATGAGTAATACTTTGTTAGTTATTTTTAGATTTATATTTAACACAACAATAGAATTAACCTTCACAAAGAGATAGGCATCTGTTTCATCAAAAGAGACTTACAACTCGGAAGTAAAATTATTCCATACTTCGCCATATTTCGAATACTTTAACAACATTAGGTCGAATGCTTACAAAAAACGCGGTTTTTGAAATCGCAGACTTTCAGTTTATCACAAGTTGTATCTTACTTTGGCAAAGTAAAAAAATCAGACCAAACTGATACAATTTATCAAGGTCAAGGTTAAGGATGTATACTTATATTTATTATATGTATACATATAACACAATATGGAAGGATTGTTGGGCACAACATTTTTTGGAAAAACAAAAATAATTTACCTAATATCGACAGCCACCAATAATCATTGATGACGTTTTAAAAATAATATGTAGTAGTACGAGTAGGTACTTAGATTTCGCAATTTTGCAAGAACGTGATGTAATGTTATTTCTTACATTATAAATTGCTATATTATTTTCTTTGTATCATGTTCTAGTATTACAAATTAATGGTACATTAACAGTTGTTGTTGTTGATAAACAGTTTCAAACGTTCGGAGGTTACACAGTTACATTTAATAACGGTATAAGAGTTCTAATGTATGTGTGACAACAAGGTCAATTTAATAGTCGCTTGGTCATTGATATCGCTAACATATTTTCCTTCCTAAGGCATACTCAAAGAATTTGAGAGACATGTTTAAAGATCTAAGAATTTTTTTCACCTGTTCTGAACTACAGTTTTGTAAAATTAATCATTTAATTTCATTGCTTTACATGGAAAACTAGCCAGAGAAAGCCTCGAAATATTTATTACAAGTGTGACTAAAAGTGAATAATAAGATATTTAATAAATATTTTATTAAACATGCGTGACTTTATCTTTTATTACCTTAAGTAGCTTTACTTTAGTAGATTAAGAACTATTCTAATTGTTATCTAGATAGGAGCAATATAACACAGAGTGTCAGATAATTGTGCCGCAATCTTTCTCGAGATAATTATAATACAAATAATCACATCACAAATCTCACACATTACTATTATAATCAGACTGCTGATAAACATGCTGATATATTTCTAAATACATACATAATATAGATCAATTACACCCAAAAAAAAGATCGTGCTCATCACACAATTATTAGTCCTGGGTGTGGCCTCTGGTTTAGCAGTCAGGTTCACTAACCCCAACAGATTTAGACCAGCTTACAGAATTATTAGTACCTACTTATACAATTTTAAAATAGAATAGTTCATTTGAATGTTCTATACTCCGGGACCCTCAATTTGGTTTAAAAAGAAAAATGTTTCGCTTTTTGTAACCCGTTATTAAGGAAAGCTATAAAACAAATTTACTATATGCATTTTATTAATTGTACTTACAGCTTCGCTTCCAGATTTGCTTTGGTGTTTACAAAAAAATATACTAATCTAGTCTTAAACGATTACAGCAAAAGAATGGTCAAAAATTAATCCAAACCATGGAGGGACCTACTCAAACAATATTGCGGTCCAGGGGTTTACTTTTGACCTCCGTCCTCCCTAAGCGCAGTCCTGGGGGTGACAGGTGAGGCCATCTGTCTCCCTAGCAGAAGCAGGCCGGGGTGGCGGCGAGCGCGTTGCGAAGCGCGCTCGCTTCCAGGGAGCAGAGGGAACATGGGGTTCCCACGCGGGGGGGGTCGTCTACCTGTTGTTGTAGATGGCCCGAGGTATTTCGGGGCACCAGGGACTTACTTTCTAGGGTATACCTGGTTCCCCGGCTATAAGTACCCGAGACGGCGTGCGGTTTTAGTCGGTTCGAGTCCGATATGCCACCGACAGGTGATATTTTTTTTTTTTTTTTTTTTTTTTTTTTAAAGACAACGCCCGCGTTAGGAATATATATTCCTGTGTCGCGGGGGACTTTGCAAACATACATGAAACGGACACAAAGAACACCCAGGTATCCGAGGGGACTTCCGCACGGAAAAAATAAATTAAAAAATAAAAGGGGTTTACTTTTAGTTTAGTGACATATAGTAAGAACTATGTATATGTATATAAATGTGCTATCATCTGTAGCAGCAAAAAACCATTAACGTCTGCATTAAAGTCTTGGCAAAATCCATTAAAAGAGAAAACGACAGATCTAATTAAGGTAATATTGAGACCGAGGTTCTCAGGAATTAAAAACAGTTTCATTTGAATTCAGGCCCTGAGAATACAAGAATTTAAAGAAAAGTTTCAAGGTCAACTGTTGAACAATTCTTCCTTCTTTAATCCGGAAAGAAACGAAATATATTACGTTTATTGAATGCTAATTTCTGTAACCTTCGCTAAGGTAAAAGTCGCTATAGTACTGAAATTTTTAGACCTATTTAGCATTGACTATCCCACATACAGTACTGATAAACGAAGGCACACCGAACTACGGAGTAACTAATAATCCTACATCGCGCAATGAAAGTTCTCGTTCAATCGCTGAGGCGTGGTCCACCAGGCAGGATCATTTCGCCTGGTCCGAAGATATTCCCTTTGCGTACACAAAATAAAATGCTTGGTTTACCGCTCTAAATTCTAAAAGTCTCAGTTGGATTTGATTTTTTTGCATGAGAAAGCTCAATTCTTTTCATATTATAATAGGCATTTTAAAAACATGCTAGATTGCACAGAAACGGACCAGTGACAATAACGTTTGTGATGCTGTATAGAAATAATTGACCAGCATTACAGAGTCGTCAGACCTTTTTGAAGAGTTCCAGTCCGCCAAACAGTCTACCTCCTTCCTTTTTAGAATGTTTTTATCTAGAATGTACAACAACATTTCCTTTTAATGAAGGTTACTGCACTGGCTCTAAACGAGGTTATTACCTATGTAATAAATGTATTTATGTATATACAGGGTTACTGGGTAAGTCGACCTAAATACTTTATAGGATTGTAGTTGCCACTATTTCTAATAGATTTCACTATGAGATACCATATCCCAAACCCAACCATTTTCAAGATATTGGGCTTTTAAGATTTTTTTTTAATAATAATCATTTTATTGGAGTAACCATGACTCATTGCTTGTTAGTAATACATAAAACTTATCCTATGTTAGTAGTGACAATTTACAATATTAATATTTTTATTTATGCACTCCATGAGAGACGGCGCTGCAGTGACCAATGTACCTGCAATCTAACCTCTCTGTGATCATGGCTAGTATGCTGTTAGAGCTAGCCCGCACCCTGCGCACCAAAGATGCACACCGTTTTCGCATAATAGTGTGAAAGCAGTCCACTCGCGCCTCTGCGAACATCCCGGACGCACTACAGAAGCGGGGTAGCCCCAACAGCACCCTAAACGCATTGTTGTATTGGATACGGAGGGAGTTGTATGCTTTTCGAGTATATGTAGCCCACAGGCTGCACGTATAGAAAGACGTGCAGTAAGCTCTGAAGAGTGTGATCTTAACATTATTCGAACAATGTGTAAACCTGCGGCTCAACATGTTCGCTCTCACCGACAACGCCCTCCGTTCCCTTTCCAGATCCTCATCGTCTTTGAGGCTAGGAGTTAAAATATGCCCTAGATATCGAAACTTAAATACCCTTTTCAATGGATGCCCATTTAAAAGTATCTGTGGCACATCCTTAGGGCCTCCACCCTTAGCCTCAAAAACCATGACCTCGCTTTTCTTAACATTGTACACCAGGCCATGTCTTTCGGCGTACTTCTCACATATGTGAACAAGCCTTCGCAGGCCACATGGCGACGCACTTAGCAGCGCCATGTCGTCTGTGTAGCTGACATTGTTTATACAAATGTCATCAATATGACATCCGACTTTTGCACTACTAAGTTCACCGATCAGCTCGTTAACGTACAGGTTGAAAAGCGTTGGTGAGGTCAAGCCCCCTTGTCTCACCCCGCATTCCAACCCATACGGATGCGATAAAGTACCTGCCCAGCGGACATTATTAATTGTATTACCATACCAGTATTTAATTGTGTTTATCATTGGAGTCGGTAATTCACATTTTTCCAACTTCTTCCATAAAATATCGTACGAAACCAAGTCAAATGCCTTAGACAGGTCGAGAAAACAGCAATACACTGAAGTGTTCCGCTTTGCATAGTAGTTCACAGTATGCTTAAGACACAGTATAGCACTTTCCGTTGATAAGCCTGGACGAAAACCGAATTGATTATCGTGGAGATGGATGTGTTTATTCAACTGCATATTAAGCATACCGTCAAACACCTTAGAAATAACCGTGGCTAAGGATATGGGCCTATAGTTCGAAACGTCGGCAAGATCGCCAGTTTTATTTTTGACTATAGGCACCACTACAGTGCGCAGCATATCCCCAGGCATATAGCTGTGCGTCATACATAACGAATACAGCAGTGCCAACACTCTTGGCAGATGGAGTCCCCCATACCGGAGATGCTCTATACTGAGACCGTCATGGCCGGGAGATTTGCCCTTAGTCATAGAATTGATAAATTTGGTAATTTCTTGGGCTTCAAAATGAATCCCCGGATCCATGTCGGCCTCTCTACTGATCGTCATCCGAGAAGGTCCCAATGGTGATTTTACGTAGAAATGATCCCTAAAGAGATCAGCAATATCTTTAGGATCTGTCACCCCACTGACGCTCACAGGCAGCCCCGACTTGTAACTCAGTCTGTTAGTATTTTTCCAGAAAGCGCGGAAATCATTGTTTGAATGATTTGCTGCCAGCATATCTAATTTAATTTGTCGCTCGTGATCCTGACACCATTTTAGACGAGATTTAAATATTTTTCTGGTCTCACACATATCTATATAAATTTTACCACTGGTAGGTTTACCATGCCAGTTCCAAATCAAAAATGATTGTTTAGCCTGTCTGTGAGCCTCAGCGACATGTTTGTTCCATCCTGTAATATACTTCCTTCGTATACGCTTGCTGCTTCCTCGACCCACCCTGGCCGCCTCGGTTAGCGCAGTTACAACGTCAACGTAAAGCTTATCAATTGAAAGTCTATGAGTAATATCATTACAAGTTTTATCACAACAGTTAGTCAATACTTGTGGGCAAGCTATATGTCTCAGTCTATAATTACATTCATTTTGATACCTTTCTATTTCCTGTACACTTCTTTCACCCCATACGGATGTATTTTGAGAAAACCTAACATTATAATTTTTTTGTGGTAACATATTTAAATTACATTCTATGACAAGTGGAAAGTGGTCGGACCATAGAACATCATACAGTACCGAAACATTCTTAACTGTTTTTACAGCAGCCTGAGTTACGAGACAATGGTCGAGCCATCGTTTAGAACCGTGTGACTCACTTAAAAATGTGTATGTTTCCGATAACGAACCCAACATATCAATATCTATGCAAGACCATGTCCGATCCGCACAAAAGTTTATAAGTTCATTATAAAACAGTTCGGTGGGATGTGCATTATAATCTCCCAACATATAAACACAATCGACGCTACAGTTATCTATGATAGCACTTACCGAACTAAGTATGTCCGTGAAATCCGCTAGATTCACAATCACATCGACAGGCATGTAAACACTCATCACTAGGAAAGCTTTATCTTTCGACGTTATTTTCACAGCACAGATACGCGGGTTACTACACTGAACAACGGTTACCTCCTGAAAAACTTTCCGCCTCCATAACAACGCAACACCTCCATATGGACGACCGTGTAAGATGCCGTTGGATAGATCCACTGCTGATACCCCTGTCGCGCTGAAGTCTTCGCTAATGGTATCCAGGAAAGAAATTTCGTTCGGCAATAACCAGGTTTCCTGTAGCGCTATCAAATCGCAGCTTTTACACAAATCCCGTATGTTTTGCAAAGAACGTTTTACATTTTTACAATTAAATGTAATAAACTTGTGGGTCTGCTCGTCCATTAATTGTCATTCTTATGTCCGACAGTCTCCACTTCATGTTTCGGCCTAAAATTCACGAATCTTCGAAAGACAATGCCGTGTGGCCATAGTTTCTCGTCTAAGTATAATGGCAACTTATTTAAATTTACGAAAAACTTATAGGCGTTATAGTCACGTTGTTGTTTAATAGATATTTTCTCTAGTACTACTTTTTCTTGAGTTTTCTTTTCTATATATTCAATAATATCTACTTCGGTAGTACTTTTACTAACATTTGTGATGAATATCGGCACTTTCCTCTCCGCCGCTTTGAATTTATCTTCAAACTCAACCGAAGCCAAACCCTTTTTGCCTAGTAAGCGGTAATTGGGAATTTTTCTGCGTCGCACTTCCGTCCATCCATTGTTTGCCACCTTTTTTCGTTGCGCGATACTCGCATAAGAGCCTGTTTCATTGTTATTTAACAGCTGATCGGCTGCACCGCTTGCAGTTGGCGGTGGCGGTGACGTAGCGGACCCGCCTTCTTCACCTCCATCGACGCATCGGCCGTCGGCCGAGCTCGGCCGCGCTCGGCTACTTTCGGCTGACTCGCAGCGATCCTTTTGAGTCGGCCACGGTATCGGCATATTTCTACCTTCACCGTAATTTAAATTGGTAAATTTTTTATGTGACGTATTAATTGCTTCGTGATCCAAAAATTGATTGCCACATTTATCACCAACGGCCGTATCATGCTTACTTTTTAAATAAATGAGAGAGTTCAAGTTTATTCCTGCACCCGGGACTGACGATGAAGACGACGTAATATTACGATTACACTCATTTTTAAAGTCTTCTATTTGACTCCTTGTTACATATGACTCCTTAATCAGTCGAACCTCGGCTTGCACTAGAGCCAGATCTTTAAGGAGTTTGCTGACATCTAAGTGATCGACAGTTAGAGGTGGTAATTTTTCCAACTCGCGTGCTACAAACACTGGCAATAATTCTATGTCTGTCCCTTTTAATATGCTTATTATATCGGTCAATATACGGTTCTCCTTACCCTTTCCTTTTCTATTTGATTTCCTCAGTTCAGCGGGTAGGGATTCGAGCAGCAACTTGTTTGATTTTTCTATTTGTTCACTGGTAAATGTTGATGCACATATCTTCACTATGGTTTCCTCGTCGGACACCGAGATTTTGTTCTGTATATAAGCCAGAAGCTCATCAATCAATCACAATTTTATATAAGGTCCTTGAATAAGTTCTCGCTGTTTCTCTTACAAAATAAAAGCTTTCTATATATTATAAGGAACAAAAGCATTTCATTCACAGTATTGCCCATCAATAGCGACCACCTTCTTCCATCTTTCTGGCAGTATATTAATGCCGCGTCGGAAAAACGACATGTCTTTTGAGGCCATCCAAGAATCGATCCATTTTTTAGCTTCTTCATAAGAATGAAAGCGCTGGTCAGCTAGGCCATGTGCCATCGACCGGAATAGGTGAAAATCAGAAGGGGCTATGTCAGGTGAATACGGCAGGTGGGGTAGAACTTCACATTGAAGCGTTTCCAGGTAGGTTTTCACTGGTTTTGCTACATGAGGCCGAGCGTTGTCATGTAGGAAAATCACTTTGTCGTGTCTCTGCTCGTATAGCGGCCGTTTTTCTTTTAAGATTTGACTTAAACGCATTAATTGAAGTCGATAGCGATCCCCCGTGATAGTCTCATTCGGTTGGAGCAGCTCATAATAAATTACACCCTGTTGATCCCACCAAATACAGAGAAGAAGCTTTGAACCATGGATATTTTTTTTTTTCTTTTTTTTTTCTTAAAAAAGACAACTCCCGCACTAGGAATAAATCCTGTGTCGCGGGGGACTTTACAAACATACATGAAACGGACACAAAGTACACCCAGACTCAGAACAACAATTTGTGGATCACACAAAGTGTTGTTCCATGTGGGGTTTGAACCCACAACACTCGGCGTAATAGGAAGCGGCGTGGCGATCGCTTAAACCACTACGCCATCCGTGCAGTCATTTGGTTGGCAGCATTTGGTAAACGATTTTGATGCATGGCCGGGCTTACCCCACGATTACGCTTTGGATTATCGTAGTGTATCCACTTTTCATCGCCAGTTACGTCTTTTCTGCCGTTGAAGCAGTAATTCACACGTGAGAAAACGACGTTCGACGTCTCTCGGCTTCAATTCATACGGTACCCAATGTCCTTGCTTCTGGATCATTCCTAAAACTTTTAAACGTTTTGAAACAGTTGACTCATTTCCCTGTAATGTTTTTCCAAGTTCTGCTAGCGTTTGACATTGGTCTTGATCGAGTAATTCCTCCAACATTTCGTCTTCAAATTTTTTCTTCGTTCTTTATCCTCAAGTTCAAAATCATTATTTTTGAAGCGTCGAAACCAGTCTCTGCATGTCGTATCCGACAAAGCGTTGTCACTTTAAGTCCCAACAAGAATTCTATGTGCTTCAGATGCAGATTTCTTTTGAATAAAGTAGTGCAATAAAATTCTCCGCCAATACACTTTATTTGGCACAAAAGTAGACATTTTGAGAACTAAGAAAAAAAAATACTTTTGCTTACACTAAAGTGAACTAACATACACCGAAATTTAAGGTTAGATACACTACAGCTTTGCATGTGTGTTACCATTCGAAATTCCACGAACAGGCTACTGCTACTGCCATCTTTGAAGAAACAGCGAGAACTTATTCAAGGTCCTTATGAAATTTGCAGAAGTTTTGCCTAATATTTTTTTTATAACTTATGTCCTTTATATTATGTATTTTTTTACTGTTTTTGTATAGTTTTTTCTATAAGTACTATTTTTTTCTTTTATTAACCATTTACTACATCCCAGTCGGTGAAGTTAACTACAATTTTAGTAATGGATATAGAATATCAGAAATGATGGCAACTACAACCGCTTAAAGTATTTAGGAAGACTTATCCAGTAACCCTGTATAAAAAATGTATTAGGCTGCGCCCTTAACATCAGAGCAGTAAGGTATAGTGTTATTTTATTAATCTTGTATATCCATACTTATAATATAAATGCGAAAGTGTGTCTGTCTATCATCTGTCTGTTACATCTTCACACTTAAACCGCTGAACCAATTTACATAAAATTTGGTATGAGGATAGTTTTATTCTTGAGGCAGGACATAGGCTTTTTACCGCGATAACCGACATACACACAGACAGAGCCCGGGCAAAAGCTAGTTCAATATACATTTTTGATTATATAATTATTTATGGTATGCTTCAAAATATTTTTGAAGTTGTGTATAATTCGTCAACTTGCATAATTCACAATACCTACTTAATTGAGGAGACGGATGAGCAGGGAGTACTGTTGCCTAAATGGTTTGTTAAAGTGCAGCTTGCAGAAGCTACAGCTGTGCAAGAATACTTAATGAAACGAATTTCTAATTTAAATAGACCAATGAAAGTTTCAGTTCAATGTATTTTCTAATTTTGTGTAATAGTAACAGGTAGGTTAAGTTTTTTTTTGAATGAATACATTTTAAGGTTACTCGATTAGGAATGGTTCACATTACCAATCTCAATGCATGTATTTATTTTACTAATTCTCATTAATATCTAAGCTATCTAATACTTTTAACCATTAAAATATTGCTTCTTACTTTTAAAAACTACTACTCTACTACTCTAATTTCAATTTCCTAATGCTACTCTAACTGAATTATTCAGTCGCCTTTTCTAATAAGCGGAATTCCAGTCAACGCACTTTGCAACTTTGCACCATTTTTTTAGACACATGAAAATGTATATGTTTATCAATAATCGTTTTCGTCAAATTTCATCTAAAACAGTTCAGCGTTTATTGATTTCCCATACAAACTTCCACCCCCTTTAAGAATGATTTCTGGGATAAAAACTATCCTATGTCCTTTCCCGGGACTCCCCAGGACTCGAACTAGTTCTATACCAAATGTCATCTAAATCGGTTTAGCGGTTTAAGTGTGAAGAGGTAACAGAGTGATACTACGGCCTGACAGAAAATTGTTGTCATCATTTCTGTCGTTGCTCTGCACTGAGTGAGTGAGGTAATCAGCGCCCGGTTACCGATTAATGCTAGAGCCGAACATGAATTGGTATATCATCAGACGTTGACGTTAAAAGAGATATGATTAGTTTGAGCTCGCTATGTCAAAACCACCTTTCTAAGGAGAGGCTTATGTCCAGCAGAGGACTGTTAAAGGCTGTTGATATAATGATGTGATGATGTCATGTTAAATACAACAATGGTCGACCAGAACACGCAGTGATAAGTTCTTTGATGTGGGAACGGTATGCTTCTTACAGTTATTATGATTACAAGCAAGGTAAACTGTTTCTGTGGGAGAATAACTATAATTTCTTGTTTTTTATACTTTAATGAAATATGGTAGTCATAACTAGTTCGTAATAATTAATTATAAGTGTATTCCTTGAACACGCAATGTCATAAAGGTCGCGGGTGCGATTCTTGATCAAGTCAAACATTTGTGTGCATGAACATTTAATTTTTGATTTGGTCTGGGTGTTTCTATGCATAATAAGTATGTATTTACAAAAATGTATATATTTATTTATATCAGTTGTCTAGTGCCCATAGTACAGGCTCTGCTTAATTTAGGACTAGATGGCGTTGTGTGAATGTGGTAAAATAATATTATTATTATTATTATTAACTACTTAATTAATTTGTTATTAATTATTATTATTATTTACTTACATTAATTATTAATTAAATAATATTATTATAAAATTAAATAATTTGATTTCTATCCTGTTCCTTGGTTGTCTTCTTCTTCATCAGAACGGTTCTAAAATGTTAGGTAGCTAAGCTTAATTTATAATAGTTGGCAAAAAGATTGATTTTAACTAATTTATAAGGTGTTGAGAATTGATGATTGCCACACACAATTAATGGTCTTTTTGACTAGTTTCTAGAAAATATGTCAGAATAATTATAATAGTAATACGAGTATTTATCGGCCCACGAAAACTGAATTGACATTGAAAATACAGATGCCACTAATAGTGATTTGGCCGAATAACGATTATTCGGCGAGTCTCTTGGCCAAAGAACCGAATATTCGGCAACATTTAGTGTCTTTCGCGGGTTTAAACCTGAATCAGTAAAATTGTCAGCAAACGCAAAACAATATCCTAATTTTATTTTCCGTTATTTTCCGAAACAGAAGAAAAAAGTTTTAAGTATTGATTTTATGATTAGTTATTGGTAAAATTAAAAGAAATGTTAGTAATATTATGCATTTTTTCTCCTGATTTCCTTCTAATTAAAACTACTTGAAATCAGTGACATCATTTACGTTTATTTATGTTTTATGTCAACAATGACAAAGCAATTGTATCTAACTTGTGACTTCATTCTAGACTTAATTAACTTTTCAATCACATGGCTTTAGCTAAAAAATAATATAGGGAATTTCCATATCTTTTTTGCGTGAATACTTCATTAGTATTATAGTATATAAGTATAGTAAAGAGGCCGAGTTTAAACAGAAAATCGCAATGTGTATAGTGTGTGAAATACGTGTTGTATAGAGGCTCGACAGAGATTATTTTAACCGACTTATTGCTAGAGATGTGAGACAGAAGTTATTAGACTTATTAGCCATATACCTTTTAGGTTATATTCTGACTCCTTGCAATAGCCACCATGCCATCTATGATTTTTTGTTTCCCCTTTTTAAACAGTACTCCATTATGATATAGGAGCCATTGCAAAAGTCATAAAAATATATCAATTATGAAGTTTAGCTAATGAAATGTTAAGGTTACAGTTAACTTTATTTAAAAGTATGTCAATCGAACGACATTTTAGAATCGTTTTATTTAGTTACTTATTTTAAATAGGTTTTATGTGATATCTAAAATAAGTAACAAATTAGTTCCAACTTGCGAACATCAACTGTAATACGTCATCAAGCAAAATTTATTTGAAACCCTGTAAATAGAAGCATCAAATAAGTTAGAATCACAACAGTGATGACTTCCGTGAACTGGTATTTATAAGGATAGTGTGAATAAATTTTTAAGATCTCAATAATAAGTTTCAATATCCATTTATTGTCATTTGTTTGCTTTATGCCTAAGTTTGGCTCAGTCAACACAGAATATACATAACGGCTAGTTAATACCTAATGTTTATTTAATATGACACAATTTTACCTGCGCCGCTCAGCAAATTTAAGTCTACTAAGAAATGAATTCGAATGTTTTATTTTAAGTTGGACCTTAGTTTAGTTCTTAAAAGAAGTGCGATTTATCTTAAAACTTTTGTTTTTTTATTTACCCTGTGACGAGCGAATGAGATAATAAAAAAAAGAAATCACAGTTGAGATTGTTTATAAATGCCGTTGCCATGGAAGTTGCCAGTAAAATATGAGGATTCATATGCATGAGTTGATGCTATTGTAGAACTTAGATTCATCAATAACCGGTTTCAGAGTTTTTAGAACACCTCTTTAACGAAATATCTAATTCTGATTTCTTATAAAATCGCCAAGGCGGCTTATTAGAAGCTGCCTGCTAGTAAAAATATTTGACAATTGCGCAAGAATCAAATCACTAGTGTACACAGTTTGATACATTAGCAAGTCCATGTTAGTTGAGAAATAATTCGTTGTGATCTGTATGTCAGTTAATAGAACATGCAAAGTTGAAACTTGAAATTCTGTTTACAAGAACTGGTTTGTTTGCCATCGCACAACGGTTCAGTTTACCGGTTATAAGGATCCCTTGTAAATTGTACTGATAACATTTAATGTTAATCAATTGGTCATTGTATATTTGTTTTGATTGACTGATTAACTGTCAATAACGATACAAAATTTTAGAGTCATATATTATCATTTAGAGTGAGTTATAAAGAGTCATAGAATTATTTCGATTATAACCATTGCGTTGTAAAAAATGTTGTTCAAATTATTATTCATCATTAAATTGAAAAATATAAACTATCAGAGGACAGTACTGAACTACTTAGCATAGCATAAATTGACACAATATTTTATTCTTAGACATGTAATAACTTTAGTGGAAAATGTTAATAATGTGATTTATATAATCAAAATGTGATTACGATTACTTTTAGTATATTTATGCAATATCTAGGAACTTTGTAAAACCAAGGTCCTCAGTATAAACGGATGTCTGACTACATTTTTAACTTGGTGATAGAATTGTCCAGCAGTCTTTTTACTGCTCTAGAAACAATTACTTTATGTGAAATAAAGAAAACTGAGAACCCAGAATATACAATATTACAAAGTGTTAGGTGATGCAAAAAACAAGGTACATCTTTTTTATAACATTCCGAGAAGTAATAATGAGTCATTTCGTTGCTGAGGAAATCTTTGAGCGCAAACATCAAATGTGGTACATTTCATAACCTACCTTGTAGTATTGCGTAAGTTAAGTTAATAAGCAATTTCATAATCAAAACCATAATAACAATTAAAAGACTTCTTTAATTTAGGGCAACATAGAACTTCGCATGGTAACCATCGAATTCTATGCTTAATTACTTATTTTATATAAATGTTTGTGTTTTAAGCTCATGGGTGCTATATTGCACGATTGGTCATTGAAACGGAGTTTCTAGCAATGGGTTCCTAAATTATGGCATTTCATTTTAAATATATGGCCCTACGTCTGTTTGCTTTATTTTAGAAAAAATGTTAGTTTCCTTAAAGAAGTGAAAGGTTTCTTTAGAAGAAAAATTTTGCCCTAAATGTTTTTATTTGTTACTAAAATGGTCTCCTAAGTGCGTGTCGAAAAAGTCGCAAAACACATTTCCCATATGAACCCAGTATTTCATTGGCTTATTATGGTACTTGTTTAAGAAACCGCGACTATCCTGCTCCGTTCTTAGAACACAGTGTTAGCGTTGCACTGGTAAGTGTATATTCTCATGCATTCATTAATAACTGATAGTTCTGGCAAGTTTACGATAATTCTTTTCTGTTTAATGAGTTCGTTCGAGAGGAGTTTTTAATTTATCTGTATATATGTAACAATTTGTTTCTTTCGTGTTAGCTAACCTTTTAAGTAATCTAAGTTTGTAGATATGTATAAATTCAACACACGATATCCAAATAATCCTGTGCTTCGTATTTGTTTTGCATTTGTATTATACTGTAATTGTTGTAATGTAAATTATTAGTGACTATGTCGTATGATTATGTCGGTTATCGCGGTAACGCGGTAGTCTATGTCCGTAATTAAGAATCAAACTATCTCCAAACCAAATTTTATTCGAATCGGTTCTACGGTTATTGATTCCCCATACAAACTTCCACCCACCATTTTACCTCCTTAAAGAATGATTTCTGGGATGAAACTATCCTATGTCCTTTCCTGGGACTCAAACTATTTCTATACCAAATTTAATCTAAAACGGTTTAGCGGATTAAGCGCGAAGAGGTTACAGACAGACTTACTTTCGTATTTAAAATATTGGTATGGATTTGGAATGGCAAATGTGTTGGATGTGTTTTGTAGTGTATCTACCACGTTTAATTACCACATTTAAGCGAATTAAACAATTGAATTATATTGTAGGTATAGGTGCGGCAAAGTATAGGTATTACAGTATTCATAAATAATTATGGCCAACCATAATCAGCGCTTTATTAACGATGTCATTACTCCGCTCCTAAGTGTAATATTATAAGTTTCCTTAATGAAAACTATTCAATACCACAAATATTTTTTAGAATACCTACAACTTGT